TTTATAAGAAAAAAACTTATATGTTTAATACATAAGCCAGATTCTTTGACTGTTTTATTATTTTCTATATGTAAAAAGCAGGTAATTTATAGTCGACTATATACTCAAAGCCAAACTCAACATTTTACTGAAACCTGCCAGACAATCAACGAACCTACAACTCATCCCAAAATTCCTGCTACATATCAATGAGTTGAACAACTGCAGAGGGAGTGAGAGTCTTAGAAAAGAAATAACATCTGTATTCATTAGGATTCTTATCCTGTATTCATAAGGATTCTTATCCTTATGAATACAGGAAAATGTAGTATTAATGGCTCAATGATTTATGATATAGAATAAAAGATGATGTTGCAAAACCTTTACTTTATTACAGCAGTTTAAAAAGAGATAAAGATGCACCACTTCATTTTATCGAGAAGGCTTTATGTAATATTTAAAGAGACTTCTAAACACATGGTTTTTTTTTTGTTAAAAATCTGATAATTTTAAGGTGCTTTAAGGCTATTTATTAACAGTTGATTGATGTTTATAATTGACCTAAATGATTGACGTTTATAATTATCAATTACTTATTGCGACTATAATATACATTTTTTTAATAACTCTGGGAATAATTTAAAACTATTTAAGTTAAATTTCCTTGTTGCTACGAAAATATTAAATGTAATGTAAAAAATAATAGTTTAGTTGTTTTAATATTGTCAACCATATAGTCTTTTGGCAACCATATAGTCCTTTGGCAACTGTATAGTCCTTTGGCAACCATATAGCCCTTTGGCAACCATATAGCCCTTTGGCAACCATATATTCCTTTGGCAACCATATAGTCCTTTGCATTTCAAACTTCATACATTATGAGATTGCTTCCGGATGAGATATCTATGTTGGTTTCCATTTGCCACCATATAATTTTTTCCAAACCTAATAATTTGGTGATGGATAGTTAGTTGGTCCTTCCAATATTTGGTAACAGATGTGTAACAGAAACAGAACCATTTCATTTTTTTGATATTTTGTGTGTATTTTTGATCTTGAGTCAGTGGATGTTCAGTATAGAAATATTGTTAATATTTTTGAAGAGAATATTTCTGTGCACCATATACCATGCGCACGTTAGCACTTTTGCACCATACACAATCTTTTTTTTTCCCTTTTAGTATTGTTGTTTTAAGATTCATCCTTCAAGATTAATGCCAACAATGATTCCCTAATCTTTGGGATATCACAACCTTTATCTAGCTTTGAAAATTCTATTCAACCTTTATCTAGCTTTGAAAGTTCACCAAGGCTTGCAGTATTTTCAGCCAATGTTTTGTACAACTGCAATTATTTTCTAGAAAGATATTTCTTATGCAGTTTTTTTCTGTACTTTCTTGACATAAGCAACTTAAATTCTAATCATAATTTTGTTTTTTCATATAAGATGATGTCTATACGAGTATGATGGATTTTACATATTTTGTAAAGTTTTATTATTATAACTAAAGAAATTTACACTGATATATAATTTTATGACGAAAAAAATATTATAGTAATGGGTGCATTATGTATGATCAAATAACCCAAAATTTTGTGTTAAAATGTGTAATATTATTATTATTATTTTTTTACACATTAAGTGAATTAAGTGATGACGATGATGATGATAAAATAATAGATGATCCCTATATAAGTCTAATGATTTCCATACTGATAATGATGAACCTAATAAAGTTAAATCCTTATCTATGATTCTGGATAACTAATCATTACCTGAGGATCAAGTACAAATACTGTCAAGAAAAACAATATATCAGTGGAGAAAAAAAGACACTCCATTAGATACCTACCCATTCAAGGAGAGTTTTCTGATCCACCTGAAATTGATACAACACCATTATATTATTTCAGTTATTTTTTTCAAAACTCATTAATTTTGTTGTAGAAAATACTAATTTATACAGCGTCCAATTTTCCGGCAAAAGTAATTAACACATCATCTGATGAAATGAGGAAATTTATTGGTATGCATATAATAATGAGTATTGTTGTACTTCCAGCATATACCCATTATTGGTCAAAAAAACTTGTGTTGTGCCCCTATTGTTGATATTATGACTCTAAAAAGATTTCACCTACTCAAGTGTTACTTGCATTTGGTGGATATTAATATCTTTAGCTGTACACATGCAATGTTTGAAAGTTGAACCTGAAAAATCACATAAAATATACAAACAGATTATTCTTTCAAAAACTCGATACACAAAAATTAGACAGTATAATCCAAAAAAATTACAAAAATGGGGATTTAAAAATTCAGTATGTGCTGGGGCCTCTGAATTTATGAATGATTTTTATATATATTTGAAAATAATGAAGACATTGATGAAAAGTATAGTCACCTACAGAAGAGTGCACAAGAGTAGCAAAAAGAGTAAAGAGTAGCAAAACTTATGTGAACAGTTACCAAAACATAAGAATCATAAGTTATTTTTTGATATCTGGTTTACCACAATTATTGCTTCAGAAACTATTAGGGAACATCGTATAGCTGGATGTCCAGTTATATAAAAAAAAGTTTTCAAAAAGTAGGCTGTGGTGCATTACATTACCGTTTTGATATTAACTCTGGCAATATTATTGTGAAATGGGTAGACAATAGCACTGCGCAACTAACTTCAAGTTATATTGGTATTGAGCAAATGATAAATAAAAGATAGAACAAAGCGAAAATGGATCGAACAGATGTCCCTTGTCCTCATATTGTAAAGTCATATTGGGAGTGTAACTTAATTCGTGCAGTTATTTTTGAAAATTGAGGTTTTGTTGTGAAAAAATGGTTATACATTCAATGTTTAAAGTATTGTCTATTGGAAGCTACGACATTTGCCCATCGTTCTGGCGGGTTGTGGATTCCATCCCAAAAAAACTTCTGCGGCTTGGCGGCCAAAAACGAATCAATCCAATTTTTTATAACAAATGAAGTGAAGTGTATTCCGGTGAGGGCATTCTGCATCAATCGGAACAAGTGTTAGTCAGAAGGGGCTATGTCTGGGCTATAATGCGGGTGAGGTAGAACTTCCCAGCCGTTGTTTTCCAAATAATTTTTAACCGGTCTTGCAACATGAGGCCGAGCATTGTCATGGTGGAAAATTATGGCCTCGTGCCTGGTCATATATTCTGGACGTTTTTTCCACGATTTCTCTCTTCAAACGCATCAATTGTGTTCGGTAGAAATCCCCTGTGATCACTCCCTTCTGATCCCAAAAAATACAGAGCTTTACCTTTGCACCATGAATATTTGGCTTCGCTGTTGATGTTGATGGTTGGCCAGGCTTCACATACAATTTCTTGCACTTAAAGTTATCATAGTCAATCCATTTTTCATCACCAGTAACAATCCGATGCAAAAATGACTTCCTTTGATGGCGTTCAGCAGTATTTGCGACATGCAAAATTGCTTTTTAACATCTCTTGGCTTCAATTTGTGCGGCACCAAATTTCCTAACTTTTGGATGAATCCCAATGCTTTTAAACGTTTTGAAGTGGCTGCTCGAGTAACTTCCAATAATTTTGCAAGTTCTTCTTGCATTTGGCACAAATCTTCTTTGAGCAATGCCTCCAATTCTTCATATTTAAACTTTTTTGGCTGTATGGGTCGTTCTTCGTCTTCCAAGTTAAAATTGCCACTTTGAAACCGTGCAAACCACTTCTGACATGTTCTTTCAGCTAGAGCATGATTGCCATAAACTTCCGCTAAAATACGATAACTTTCGCCAGCACTTTTCTTCATATTGAAGTAATGAAGAAGAACACCCTGCAAAAACACTTTATCTGGCACAAAGTTCGACATTTTCAAATGAATGAAAAAAGTTGTTGTTTATGCTTTAACCAAATGACATATACTGAAAAAGATGAGCAATGACAGTAGCTTCCAAATGAATATAATCACATATGATTACAATGCGAAATAAAACTAGTAACGTCATCTCTTAGAAAACCGCACGAATCAAGTTACACTCCCAATACAATCTATTATTGGTGTATTGATTTAGTAGACATGTTGATGTCACTCTACAGAATGAAAATAAAAAAACAGGTGGTACATAAAAATTTTCTGGCATTTAGTGGATGTTGCTAAGGTTAATGATTGGACCGCTGTTATCAAGATTAACATCGTGTACCGAAACGGACACAACAACCTCTGCAATTATTTTCACTTTAACTATTAGACACTCTTATTCAACATAATCAAGTAAATTTGTATGTGTTTCCAGGTTGTTGAGCAAAACAATAATGTATGGAACCAACAGAAAGTGGAAGAAAGCCTGCACTTGTAACACCTTATGATGAATCAAGATACTATCAAGTAGGCCATTGGCCATTGCCTTCCGAAACGAAACAACATTGTTGTGTCTGTAAAGCTTATGTTAGGATTCAATGTGAAAAATGTAAATTTTATTTAGGTTTAGTTGCTGATCGAAATTGTTTTCAAGACTTTTTTTTCAATAAATAAAAAGAATTTCTAAATGTGTTTGATTTCTTTATGATGGGTTTTACTGTTACTTGGCATTGATTCCATATGGAGTCATTTCAAATTTGTGTCTAAATTTGCCTAATTTTTTTTATTTTATATAACTTTATTTTTACATCCAAATCAGCTCATAAACAGCAAAAATTATTTTTTTGAGATTTTTTTATAATTTGCAAAGTAAAGGGTTAATTTAGCTATACACCATAGTTAAGTGGTTTCAAAAAACCAATACAATATATTAAGACCAATAAAATATTGTATTTGGTCTTAATTTAGCTGTATACCATAGTTGAGTGGTTTCAAATAACCAAATAATGTGTGTTGTAAAATTAATAATATGTAAAAAAAAAATAAAACTTAATATTAATTTTTACTTTTTCTGTCAACTACAATTGATATTTTTATAGTTATAAATTTTATATTTTTATAGTTATAAGTTTTATATTTTTATATTTATAAATTTTATATTTGAATTTTTTTTTAGCTACCAATGTACAACAACAATCATACTGTTTTAATTGAGAGAGTCTTAAATATCATTGCTCAATCTGACATGGTTTGTTTTAAGCTTTTATTCGATTATTTTTCATTAGTTATACAGTGGTGGGAAAAAATATGAGAATCATCTACAAATTTTACTGATTTCACATTTAAAAGCCTGTGTTAAATAATGTGTTAAATTTATAATTTTCTAAAAGTGTACTTGCTATATTCTTTCAAAGTGTTTTCCAAGTAAAAATAAATAGTTCATGTTGTCACTAGTTACATTAAAAAAGTTTAAAAAAAACATTTTGATTGTAACCAGTTTGATAAAAGTTTTTAAATTTTAGGACATCTTTGCATAATTATAATAGTTTTTTACAAATATGCACTTCCAAAATGTCATGAATGTTATAAAAATACACTTCCAAAATGTCATGCCTGGTTTTCTCAAAGTACTGTTGCGGGAAGTAACTCCTTTTAACTACTCCAGGTCAGGTCAGGATAATCAAGATCAATCTTGCTACTGGTATCACGTAACCCAATACCACCTGCCACAAGCCCTGCTGCCTTGCAGAGTGTGCTCTTCTTAGGCAAAGGCTAGGAGAAATAAACTCCAACTAAAAATTCCCCTGCTTTGGAGCTCTTGGTTGAGTAAAGGCTAGAGATGGTGTCTCGATAAAAACACTCTTCTTGGGCAGATGTTAACTGCATCCAGCTACTGTCTTGTAGAAGGCCTCCTAGGCAAAGACTTTAGGGATAAGCAGAAAAATTCTGCTAACCAGCCTCGAACCCCTTCTTCATCTATTAGGCTGGCGTAGATGTAACCTGTGTTACATTGTTTCCTGCCTAGGATGATGAATGCTGGATCTCCTTGACTCTACTCATAGAATTTTGCTTATGCCTCCTTGATAATGGCTATGCAACTCTTCCTGTTATCTTCATATGAGGGTACAGCTCTAAAACTCAGTTTAATGGTTCTGAGGCCGACTGGTAGTAAGGTTTCCCGAACTCTGTGGTAGCTCTCAGAGAGGCTGATTCCATCAAAAGCTGCAAAATATCAGAGTATTAACAGTGCCATGTTGCGCATGGATGGTGTCCCTGTTAATGCTTTTGGCGTACATTGTCAAGGCCACATAAGGAGCTCTATGTCACGGCTTAGGGTTAATTAACAGGACTGAGACAACTGCATAGCTCATTGATTAGGAGGCTGTGCTCTATCTATGAATGAGTCTAGTTCTCATTAAACCCAAATCATGACCAAAGTAACCAAAAATTTAAAACCTCAAAAACCATCCCCACCATCTAAATATTTTAATATATCTTTTACAAATATTCGCGGTCTAGGAAGCAACTTTCCATCAGTTGAGTCTTACCTCCTTCAAAATTCACCAGACTTGCTTGCACTCAGTGAAACAAATTTAAATTCTGCAATTCCTTCTTCAGATGTCAGTGTTGATGGGTACTATCCTTTGATTCGTAAAGACTCCAATAGTCACCTGAAGGTTTAGGGGTATACATAGGCATTAATTCCCTTATTTGTCGTAAAATCAGGTTCGAATCCTTTGACCATTCTTTTATGTGCTTTCACCTAACACCTCTTCACTCTATCACCTTTCTCTTTGTTCTTTATCGTTCTTCTTCTTCCCATGATTGCACTCTTTTAGATGTTATCTCTGATCAAATTGACCATGCCCTCTCTCTTTACCCCTCTGCCAATATTGTTGTTGTTGGTGATTTTAATGCCCATCACACTGAATGGCTTGGCTCTAACACCACTGATCCTGCTGGCACTAAAACCTTTAACTTCTGCGTTTCTCAATCTCTTACTCAGATAGTTAACTTTGTGACTCATTTTCCTGACAACCCCATTCATTTACCTTCACTCCTTGACTTATGTCTTGTCTCTGACCCTAGCTTATGTTCAGTTTCTCCCTTTTTTCCCTTAGGTGGTTCTGACCATGCAATGATCTCTATAAATCTTTCTTTTCGTACTTCTTTTTTGGGCTCACCTTATCATCGCACCACCTACTACTACCCTAAAGCTGACTGGGATTCCTTTCGTGATTTTCTTCGTGATGGTCCTTGGGCTGATGTTTTTTCTCTCTCAGCTGACAAATGCGCCTCCTACGTAACCTCCTGGATTCAGGCTGGAATGGAAGCTTTTATTCCTTTGCGTCAGTTTCAAGTCAAGCCTCATTCTACTCCATGGTTTTCTCCTTCTTGTGCGGCTGCTATATCCAATCGTAATCATTTTTTTATCTTTTTCAAAAGAACAGCTCTCTTGAGAACAAACGGCTATTTATTATTGCAAGAAATTGATGTAAAAAGGTGCTTTCTGATGCTAAACTCCATTATTCTCAGTTCACTAAATAACGCATCTTATCGCAGAAGTTAGGCTCTAAAGACTTTAGGAAAATCTTCAACAGCATTATTAACAAGGGTAGATCTAACATTCCATCTCTCATTCATGAGACTGATCTTATTACCTCTCCCAAGGATAAGGCAGAACTACTTGCTTTTCTTCTAATTTCACTCTTTAACTTTTCTTCTAATTCCACTCTTGAATCTTATGGACATTCTCTTCCTTCCATTCCAGTCAAACAGGTTGACCTATTGTTAGACATTCAAATCACTCCGGCTTCTGTTGCTAAAGTCATATCTCAATTAAACTCGTCTACAGCTTGTGGTCCAGACAACATTCCTGTCACAGTCTTGCAGAATTGTTCTCCAGAACTTTCTTCAATTCTCTCTAAACTATTTAACAAGTGTTTGACTGAGTCTTGGTTTCCTGCTTGTTGGAAAATGGCATCTGTGGTTCCAATATTCAAAAACTCTGGAGAAAATCCTGACCCCTCCAATTATCGTCCGATCAGTCTTCTTTCTGTTATTAGCAAGGTCTTTGAGTCTTTGATTAACAAATTCCTCACATCTCATCTTAAGTCAAATAAACTACTGTCAGACAATCAATACGGTTTTCAACCTTTCGCTCTACGGCCGACTTGCTAACTGCTGTAACTGAAAGATTTTATCGTACATTAGATGGAGGCGGTGAGGCTAGGGCTATTGCTCTCGACATATCTAAAGCTTTCAACAAAGTTTGGCATGCTGGTCTTCTCCATAAGCTTGCTTCATATGGTGTTTCTGGGAAAGTTTTTGAGATTATCAAATCATTTCTTTCTAAACGGTTTATTAAAGTCATCCTTGAAGGCCAACACTCTTCTTTATTTCCAGTAGCTTCTGGGGTTCCCCAAGGTTCCATCCTGGGCCCTGTTTTGTTTCTTATCTACATAAATGATCTTCCTGACAACCTTTCATCTAAAGTAGCTCTTTTTGCTGATGACTCATCGTTATACTCCTGTCTTGACAAAAAGTCTTCTCTTTTCGATCGCCTAGAACAAGCAGCTGATCTTGAATCCGATCTCACTTCAGTAATAGATTGGGGTTCACAGTGGCTTGTGAATTTCAACTCTAACAAAACCCAGTTGTTTACTGCAAACAACTACCGTAATATGGTCAACATTTCTATATTAATGAATGGCAATCCTCTTACTGAGTCCTCCTCTTTACGTCTTCTTGTATTATCGCTTACTACTGACCTTTCATGGAAACCATATATACAATCGATTGCTAAATTAGCTTCTGCTAAGGTTGCTTCTCTTTATCGTGCTCGCCATTTCCTTACTTCTGATTCCATTCTCTACCTCTGCAAATCTCTTATTCGTCCCTGTATGGAATACTGTTGTCATATTTGGGCTGGTTCTTTTAACGATTCACTTTCTCTTCTTGACAAGGTCCAAAAACGCATTGTAAATGTTGTTGGACCTGGACTATCTGCTAAGCTTGAACCTCTTTCCCATCGTCGTAAAGTTGCATCTCTTTCTCTTTTCTACAAATACTATCATGGTCACTGCTCAAAGGAGTTATCATCTCTAGTTCCATCAACTAAAATTCATTCTCGTTTTACTCGTCATTCAGCTAAGTCTCATTCGTTTACTGTATCTGTCCCTGCATGCTCTAAAAACTTTTATTCATTTAGTTTTTTTCCCCGCACTTCAATCCTTTGGAACTCTCTCCCATCTTCGTGTTTTCCTGACTCATACAACCTTCAACTTTTTAAGTCTTCTGTCAACCGTTTCCTTGCTCTATAACTGTCTTTTTTTTTCCTAGTAACTCCCAACTTAATAGTGGTTGCTTGTAGCCTTGTTGGGAGTGAATGGAAATAAAAAAAAAAAAAAAAAAAAATGCATGTATATAGTGTAATTTGGTAGCTATTTTGATATGTTTTATCCTTACTAGTAAAATTTTAATGACTTTGGAAAATGTTGTGTATACCAATCAGAATATAATGACTTTTGCATTTTTATTTGCATTTTTTTAAAATTATATATTCTTCAATAAGAAAATAGGTTACATTAGTAAAGTGAAAATTAAAAAGCATCAGATCAAAATAGAAGAAAAAACATTACAGTATATGCAAACTTTCAAAGTCCCTTTAACTTTACGATTTTTTAGTATATAGATATATAAAATTGAATAATTTAAAAACAAAAATTTAAAACTAACACACAGAAATATTGTTTGATTTTAACAGTATAAAGTTTTTACAAATAATTTCACATAAAACAAACTTTGTTATATGCTTTTTAAGTTGATGATTTTAATAATTTTCATATCACTATATTTATACACATTTAAGATGTTAGTTTAACTATTTTTTGTAATTTAAATAACAACAAAACAAAACAAAAAGTTAAAAAGTTATACTTGCAAACAATTTAAAAGTGTAATAATATAAATGATTGCATATTAGGGTGTCTTAAAAGGATTTTAAAAAAGGTAAAATGTGTGCCATGTTAAACTTGGTTACTAGGTCTATTACGACCAAATACACCAGAATTTTTTACTTTAAAAAGGTTGTAAGTGCTTGGTGTAAATGGTGCTTTTTTCCAATATATTTGATTCTTTTCTTTTCTAAGATAAAATTTATTAAACGTAATTATATAGAAAAAAAATTATAAAGAAAATCATTTCTGTTAAACATTTGTTATAGTCAGTCATATGATGTAAAAACCTTTTTTACATATTTTGCCGCTGTGGCGCAATGGTTAGAGCGCTTGCTTTAGAAGCAAGCGATCCCAGGTTTGAATCTAGCCCTGAACATATTTAGCGCCATGGTAAGGAAGGAGGCGTGAATTTCCTATTTAAATGCTCTTTCGAGGTGCTCTGAGACAAGACAATTAGGTCTTCTTGGAGCACCTAAAAGTATATATATATATATATATATATATATATATATATATATATATATATATATATATATATATATATATATATATATATATATATATATATTGAATAATATAAAAATAGGACTAAATTGTTGAAAAAGTATAGCAAGTTCTTTATCAATAAATTAGCTGGGTTTTCGTTAGATTTTCAATTTTTTTTAATTTTATTGTTACTTTTTTCTGTGGTTTTGGACAACCAGCAACACATTCTGATTCATGTCCTTGTTTCTAATTGCCTAATTTAACTCGGTCTATTTTAACTATGTTTTACTCAAATCTTTCTATTTTTTGCAGTCTCAAGTTCAAACTTTTTATATTGATGTGCAGTGATTTTCCTTTCATACCTCTGGTCTTAATAAAAAGCTACATCTTCTTTTTGCCTATTCTTTAATTATCATTTTAATTATATGATTGTTAAGGAACATATATGTGAAACAAGGTTTTATTCTCCATAAGGAACTCTAGTATATATTCATAATAAACTAAATATATGTAAATAAATGCTATTAATAAATTTTTGCTTGAATTTTGTGCTTTTATACTGGACATCTGACTGACACCTTTTAATAGTTTTTAGCTAACTCCAATATAATCTTTTCTCTTTCTTCCCTGAGCCTGCCATCAGAGTATGTGTTATACTAAAGTAGCTGGTTTTCTAGTCCATTTCTGAATGATGTTTTCTTTTTTCTGTCTGTCTATTGAGGAAATATCTAATAATTACACAAATAACCTGTATAAATTTCCTCTTTTATACTATAATGTAATTGAAGTTACAATTTTTTCAAGTTTAAGGATGTCTGGCAAAGGGATTGCTACCATTATAGGTGTCTGGCAATGGATGGCATGATTTCTAATACTACTCTGAAAAAAATTATAAGAAAGTTATCTATTATAATTGAAACATTTTAGCCAGTATTTTAAACATTTTCGGTACCTGTTACCAGCCAAAGTCATCATGATCTAAATTAAATAAAGGTTTTAGTTGACCATTGTTTCTACTTGTGTTAGAAGCATGTACTGAGAAATTTTTAAGCTTTATAAATAAACATAGGTCTGGTAGCCACCTTAAACTGTAACCTACTAGCTTACATGGCTGCATAAACTTTTGTTTATATATTATTTTTGTAATTAAAGTATAAATTAGTATTATTATTGTCGTAACTATAAGGTAATTTTTTTTTTAGATTTATCAAGCTATTAATGTGCGTTTAGTTGTTGTTGCAATTGAAATTCAAGAAAACAAAGATTATTTTAATCGTGGTACAAATTCATATGAAGATCTTCTTAGTTTTAATGCTTATTTTAATCAAACAATAAAAAACAATTCATCTCTTAAAGTTATGAATTTAGATGGTGGCATTTTTTTCAGGTAAATTTTACAGTTAATGAATAAAAATAAGAAGCAATAATAGCAACTGATAATAAGATTCAAGTTTTATAAGTGACAAGCATAATATTAATTATCTTGTATATTCAATGGTCTTTCATACAATTTTTTTAAGTACTAAACAGATATAGAAAATTTTTAAATTATTTAGCAGCATCAAAAAAAATTCAGATTTGAAACCAAATAATATCTTTTTAGCTCTTCAACTTTGTTTCCACTTTTTTTTATGATTCTGAAGTGTTACAGTTGGTGCTAATTAGAATATGATTGGCTAATGCTCATCGGACTTATATTGGTATTTTGTATATTTATTTTTGTTGACAATACATTGGCTCACTTTTGATACTGTAATGTAGGTGCTTTAAACGCTGAATAAAGTGCTACAGTTTTCAAAATGTTTGTTTCACTAGGTTGGCAATGGATTGGGCCACTATTATTTGTACTTACCATTTCATGCTCCTCAAAATTTATGAAGCCTATTGCTCTTCCTACAATAATAACTTTTACAATAAAAGTTACCAATAAGAGGGTTCAACTAGTTAATAAAACTTTTCAAATTTTTTCAAGAAATATTCACCTCCCCAAATCCGAAAGGGCCACTACAGTCAAGGAGGCTACTTTTTGTGGTTTCAACCCTCCTTCAACTATATAGCTCCGAAACACAAATCTTGAAGAACGAGGTCACTGCTTGGAGAAACAAGTTAAGCATGGTACTACCAAGGAAGTGGTGTGGATTAAAATCATCAGTTTTAACTCATGTACCAACATGTCTTATTTATTGTATAGGGGTATTTAACACAAGTTGTAGTCAATCCGACTGCTAATTCAGCACAATCACAACAACTAACACAAAAATGTGGTTGGCACAACTTGAAATTCAATGCAATTGTACCAACTTACTCAAAATATTGTTGGCCCAACAAAACAGGCTGTTAGGGGTGTCACTAACTTTAATGTTATAAATTACTTGAGAGTTTTATTATTATTTCAAACTTATTGCTACAGAACAGTTTGGTTTGTGTAAAATACTTTTAATAAATTCACCTAAGAAATATTCACAACTGGTCTAAGTTAAGTTTGATTAGTTGATATATATATATAGGGTAGATTAGGGAAAAGCATCTTAGTAATATGAGCATACCAAAACATTTCTAAGATGTAAGCAGTGAAGTGTTTGAATTGACTTGTGGTGATAACAGGAAACAGTATAATTAGCCTATATTTATATGCAGTAATTTGCAGCTATTATCTTATTAAAACACTATTAAATTTTTTGCATTGTTAAAATATTATCACACATGAATAATTGTGCGGCGCAAAGTTTTGATGTTAAAATAATTAAAATTTAGTTTTTCATAAAAGAAAAATATGTTAGCTAGACTTGTGACTTTATTTAAAGTTACCATTTTTGTATAATATTAGCATGCTCAAATTACATAGTGTTTTATATTGAAGTTACCTGTTTATAGTCCTAAAATTGCAGTGATTTTAATTGCTTTTTGAATAAAAACAAAACTTATTAAAAAGTATTTAATATTTAAGAAATAATAAATATCTTTTTTATTTTAAGTTCTAAAAAATTGTAATTTTGTCGATTTAAGGTTTGAGTTAATATAATTGAAAAAATAACTAATTTTTAAAATAAATAATTTTTTGACATATAACATAAAATAATTTTGACATATAACATAAAATAAAGTACTTTCAACAACAAGTGGCTCAAAATTAGATCTTTTAATGATAAGTTTTGTTAATAACAAATCATTATATTCCACAAATTATTTCTAATTGTCAGGTTGGTATTTTATTAATTTAGTCAATGTTATTTTTTTGAGCTAATTACAAGTGCTTATATTAAAATGGTAAAATGTCAAATGGTGCAAAATATTTTGTCTGCCAAAAATGAATTACCGGTCATTTTGTTTAACATATTTCATGAGTAGTTTTGAATTTGTGTAAAATTTTTACTTCAAGTTTGTAATTTAACTTGAATTTTTGTCAAATTTTTTAACTTTTTTAAGTTAAAATATGTTTTAAATGTCACGTTGTTTAGCCTGAATGTTATTATATCAAGCATGTACTCATTGTCATTAAACTTGAAGCATGTATTTGTTGACAACATGATCTAAATATGTAAATAAAATTAAGACAGTTTTAAAAGCTTTCTCAAAAGAAAATATAGAATCTCTGTAAAAGGAGATGAATGCAAAGTGCTTGTACATGTTTGACAGCATTAAATATTTTAAATGTGCTAATAAGTTGTCTATCTTTATATCCATTTGGGATTTTCAAGCGGTTCTTCTAGAAGGTAAACCTTTTTTAAAAAGATATCTAATTATGTGTTTTAAATTAATAATACATAATATAGAGTAAAATAGGGTTATGAAATAACTATGTTATACTTTATATTATGAAATAAATAAAATAGAAAATAAATGATATAGAGAGTTAGATGAAATTGTGACTGTTTTTATTGTTATTTTAATTTTTTTTTATAATTTATTTTTATTATTTTGCTCTTAATTTATTTTTGAATATTTATGTATAAAATTTTTTTTATATAAAACCAAATATTAAAATATTGAAATTTGAAAGTTTCATGGTTTCATCTTTAAAAAAAATTTTTATAAATATTAAAAGATATTGTTGAAATCACAATGTAACAATACTTTACTTAAATTTAAATTGTATGATATATGATTCTCTTTGCAGAAAGAGGTTAAAAGAATAAATTAAATCTGCTTTCTTGTAAAAATAAATAAATAATAAGACTCTTAGGTAATTCCATGTCAAATGACTCAGGTCATTTCACCACACATCTTAGATTTTGCTGATTTTTATATAGTTGAGAGTGCTTAGTAAAATAAGAATTGCTTGAAAATGTTAACCTCTGGATTCAAGGTGATCCGGAAATATGACTGTTTTAGTTTGAGCAGATATTGACCAGGCTTCTCTTGTCTCCTAAATTTATTTGGAGGTTTCAAGTCACATAACTTTCAAAATATATTTGATTTTTTACTTAAAAATTTGTACCTGGCTTTTTTCAGTGACGGGGTGACGAATCCAATAAAATGATCAGAAAGGTGAAAAATTATTTTTAATTTCCTGTGTTTATTAATTTAAATAAATTTAGGCAGTTTTCTGTATACCTGATTTTGTTGCTCAAAAAACCCATGTGGCCTTGATGATATCAAAAAAAAATAGTTTTACATTCTATATTCATTAATCTTTCAAAAAATATAAAGATTTTGATCTGCAAGTATATGGATTTCCATATATGGATAATGGGGCACAGTCCCCACTTTTTTGTAGTGGAATATTGCAATTGATTTTTCACTATCTTCCAGACTAGCTGGACCTCTGAAAATTTTGGCATTTTTGTAGTACCAATAAATGTGCATGTTAAAATTGTTTTCAGGGCCCTAAGACATTAGGGGGACTGGGGCAAGTTTTTTGTAGTAGAATCTTGTGATTGATTTTTCACTATTTTCCAGACAAACTGGAGCTCTGAAACTTTCAGTATTTGTGTAGTCCTAATGAACATGTGGTAAAATTGTTTCCAGAGCAGACATCAAGAGGCTCCATGGTCCAGGGCACTGGGGCCTCGTCCCACTTATTTTTACAAAAAAAAAATTTTTTTTGCACTTTTATGTAAAGATAACTTTGAAAAATATTGTCTTAAAAATTTTTTTTGGTTTATACTTGTTCTTTATTATTCAATTATTTACAAAGTAAAATAGTGTGAAGATTTGCTAAGATGTGCCACTAGTCAAAGTATACATACGTCCAATTGTTGTTTCAGGTATATCAATGATACAAATTATGTTGGTAATTGGAACCCAATACTTATCTGCTCTAGATGGTTTGTTAAAAGGACCGTGTGTGGTGCATAAATGTTACCATAACATCTTGCTCATTATTGTCAATTTCATTTATCATACCAATCCAATGAAACATATCATATTTACAGAGAATAAATTAACCAAATTTCAATGTATTGATGTTAATTTGCTGATTAGGTTGAATACTTTGAATATCAGGAAAAAGAAAACAGGCTTTTTATATTACAATCTTTACTTGTTCGTTTAAAGCAAACAGTATCTATAGATTTTGGGTTAAATTGATGTTAGCTCCTAGTTCCATTTTTTTAATTTGTTCCAAAATGTGGCTGAAAATGTATTTTTAAAGTGGTGCGCATTTCTGAGAGTATTTCTTTTTCAATCTCAAAAAAAATAATCCCTTTAATTCAATATCTGATCAATTATGGACCTTTGTAGACTTGCATTTGCAGTTAATTGTTTTACAGTGCTACCAATACCATCACATGGTGACTTACCATGACTTGTAGCAAAAAATGTCCACCTTGCATCAATGTCAAAATCATTTTTATGAAATCAGATATTGTAATGGTTTTTATACTGTGCAGCACAACCATCTAAAAAATAAAGAATCTTTGAAATATTAGGATGATTTTCTATTTAAATAATTAACTGTTTGTGTTTGAACTTCATACACAAAACCATTGTCATGCTTATTATCTTCTGACATTAAGTAAAATTTTTTTTCTTTAAGCTGGTCATTTTCATTTAATAAATAGAAGGCAAGGGTGTAACTTGCAATGACTTTGGCACCAATGCTAACTTTAGATTTCATCTTTAATCACAAATGTGTATTTTTCTGCAAAATGACAATTCACTTAAATCACCTAAAACAATACAGCAGTCTTTTGCCAACTTTTCTTTTTGTTGCCTTAAGTATCTCGCTTGACATTTTGCAATGTACGAATGAGCTGCTAGTATGTTTATTGTCTCTGATAACATCAATTTGTATTCTTCAATTGTTCTTTGACAGATCAAAGTTGTTCTGTATGTTTTCTTTTTAATTCAAAAAGTTTTAAATTACGCAATGTAAAATTCTGTTAAAATCATTATTTTAGATGGTAAATGTTTTTAATCCATATAATTGCAAATCAAAAATCTTATAGACATATGTACTTTCTTACAACAATTTAAGAAAAATCATTGAATACAGAATGTTCAAAAACCAAATGGAACAAATATAAACCAAAAAAAGTTTTTGAAAACAATATTTTCAAAGTTATCTTTACTTTATTGAAAATGCAACAAAAAATTTTTTTTTTTGAGATAATTGGGGCATCTCCCCAGTGCCCCAGCCCTCTGGTCTCTTGCTCTGGAAACAATTTTAACACACGTTCATCAGTACTACACAAGTGCTAAAATTTTCTGAGCTCCAGTTTGTCTGGAAAGTAGTAAAAAATTTATCACAAGAGAAGCCCCATTCCACCCCCCTTCTGTGTCTTGAGCCCTGAAAACAAATGAAATACAGAAATGCCAAAAGTGTCAGAGCTCCAGCTTGTCTGGATTGTAGTGAAAAATTAATTTCAATACTTCACTATAAAAAAGTTAAGACCATGCCCCGTAATCTATATAGGGAAATCCAGATACTTGGAGATCAAAATCTTTATATTTTTTGAAAGATCAATGGATATAAAAAGTTGCCTAAATTTATTTAAATTAATAAATGTAGGTACTTAAAAATAATTTTTCACCTTTCTGATCATTTTATTAAACTCGTCACCCCTGAAAATAGCTAGGTACAAATTTTTAAGTAAAAAGATTAAATATTTTTAAAGTTATTTAACTTGAAATCTCTAAATAAACGTTGCAATTCTAAAGGGACAAGAGGGGCCCGGCCAACATCTGTTAAAAATAAAATGGTCATATTTAAATGATATTTAAACAATATTTAATATTTAAATAATATTTTAAGATCTTCTTGGAGCCAGAGGCTAAAACTTTCAATGAATTTTAATAAGTACTCTCAACTGTGTAAAAATCTGCAAAATCTATAATATAAGGTAACATTTTTAAAAATTTCTGGGTCATTTGACATGGAATTATCCTCATACCTATTTCATTTGACCCAATTTTTCTCTAATTTTTATTTTTTTTTAGTCATATAAAATATGTAGACAAAGGAAATTCATTTCCATCTTTTTGTGAAGATTATTCTAGTTTAGTTCATGAGGTAAAAATTTTTTTAGAGTCAAATAGTATAAAAAAACAAAAATTCAATAAATCTTTCAAGTAATGAATTGAAGATTTAACTGAGTAGTAAATGAAAAGATTGTTGAATTGGTAATTCTTTTTCTTACACACAGTGGGATTATGAAGAATTTGATATTAAAGTAATGAACTATTTGTTTGGATATCAAATGGGATTTAAAAATGAGGATGAAAAAACAGGTTCTTTAATTTTAATTTTCATTATAATATTTCAAGTATTTATATATGTATGAGCAATATTTTCTTTGGTTTGCCTTTTTCATTATCTTTTTAAAAAATATTTAATCATACAATTATATTCAAATTTAATATTAATTTTTGGTCAAATTTTGGTTGGCTTATATAGTTTTTGGCACATAGTTTTTCATAACTATGTGCCATAACTATGTGTTTTCATAACTATGTGCCAGTTTGGTAACAATTTAACGGATATAGATTTTAAGTTTTTTTTTTGTGTGTTTTTTTTTTTATGTTTGTATCAATAAAATAGACAAAAAAAAATATTCACACATACTACACTACTTCTGTAAAACTAATTAAACATTATACAATGTAATTTACTGATGTCTAAAAGTTTAATGGAGTTAATTAATTATACATTTAAAGAGTACTCATGATTCTTAAATTAAAAAATAATTTTAAAAATAAAAAAAAACATTTTAACTTCAAAAAATTATCTAAAGAATAACTACAATATTTTAAATTTCAATTCGCTTGTAAATGGGTAGAAAAGCAGAATCATAACAATGTTGAAATTAGTAAACTTATGGGTGTTTCTGAATTTTACATGTGAAAAGCAGCGAAAAGCTGGTAGTTAACAGGTTACGTTGTTGATATGTCTCGTTCTGGAAGACCACTGAAGCTTAGTGACCGTGACAAAAGTAGCATATTCAGAACAAGTAGAAAAAATCTAATATTTAATGAATCCTTTTCTAATCGAAATGTAAGCAAAGAAGTTTTTAGAAGAACATTAGCAAAAAAAGGTATTGGGTCTTGCATTGCAATAATAAAGCCTATCCTTTCAATCATGGACCCACGCAAAGGATGAAAATGATGCAAAGTTTGCATCAGGCAGTTGAAAATTGGGCAAAGTGATTTAGAGCACTGAGTCAAATTTTCAGGTTGGGAACCGCGAAGGAAGAGTATACGTTAAAAGATTTGCAACTAAGAAATACTGTGGGCGCTATTTATGAGCAAGACGACAAGGTGGTGGAGGCTCAGTAGACATGTGGTCATATATATATAGCAAAGCCAAGACCAAGGCCAAAGCCACATATTACAAGATAAAGGCCAAAAGTTTCAAGGCCAAGGACAAGAGTTTCAAGACCGAAGCCGAGAATGAGAGTTTTAAGGCCAAGACCTACACAAACATTTTTAAGACCAAAAAATTAAATTTTGGACTTACCGTAAGGCCAAATATTAACAAAACTGTAGGTAGCAAGTGCTATGACAATAAAACCACATGTTGTGAAATTAGACCAAAGTTATGCAAGAATTCAATGCAGTCAATAAAAAAATATATTTGTAGATATATATGAAAGCCGGAAACAAAGTTACATAAAATAAAGAATTAAAATATTTAATTCTTTAATTTTCTGTATTTTTGTGCTCAGTGCTTACAACTAATATTAACATCTTTTAATTAAAGATACATTATTAGTTGTTAGCATTATCTGTAAGTCATAACCATTAACTATCACTATATAGCCTATAAGTCTTTATTACATTTTAGAAACATCAAAGTTTCAAGCAATGAATCTGACATATGAGCTCTATGAGGACACATTATCAATCCACTCTGACAAATGATACGCTCGACATGAGCTGGCGTTGATGGGACACAGAAATATTTGTCAAATATAGATTTCTTTTTTTTTAATATTGTTTAATTGTGTACAGTTTTTTTAACAAAAAATCATTTTGATTAAATTCTAGTAATTGATTTGTTCTTGTTTGTAAAACATGATTTTATCTATTCTTTGCAAAAATGCATATTTTTTTTTGGCAAAGGGTTTTTGAATCTAAGGTGTTACACTACTTTTAGTAGATGTCAAAGTGATTTCTGGTGTTGTTCTTGTATAAATTATTTATGTATTATTTTATTGTTTATGTGTAATTATAATTATATAATTATAATAAGCTGTTGCTTATTGGTTTAAAAAAATTTTGAACTGATTTTGATAATTAAACAAAAACAGTATAAATAAATAAAAAAAAAATTTATAATAAATTATATTTAAATATAATAAAACAATTTTAATTCAAAAAACCTTAAAAATTCTGTTTTTAATTTTAAGAAAAAATTATGTTTAAATCTTTTTTTAAATTTTGAAATGTTTTAACTAATAAAAAAAAGATATATCATGTGACTCAATATATAGATGTAATATATTCCCATTAGCAAATCATGTCATTGGTTATTGCTTTAAATTGGCTAGTCAAAAATGGCAATTTAAACTGTAGCATAAAACACAAAATTAAGTTCTACAGCTTTCAAGTAAACAAAAATAACTCTTGTAAACAAAATCAACTGTAGTAAAATCTTTAAAAATGCAAACACGAAAGAAAGTTCTAAATTCCTAAAGAAAAGTTGGAAGACCAAGGCCAAAATTTTCAAGTCCAAGGCCAAGGCCAATAGTTTCTAGGCCATGACCAAGTCCAAGGCCTAATTTTTTGCCTTTATGCAAGGCAAGGACTTAACAACTTTATGCAAGGCAAGGACTTAACAACTCTGGTTTTGACTATCAAAAATAACTTAAATACTGTTTTCCCAATTGCAACATATAAAAAAAGTATATGAAGACATGTCAGGCTTTACCTGATGATGATATGAATTAGATATATCAAGAGCAATAGCCTTGCCTTCATTCATCTAATGGACAATATGATTTTTAAGTTAGGCTAACAAGTCAGCTGTAGAAAGTATTTATATAAATTGTCTGAAACTTAGTTGTTCTCAACTTTGTTATTTAAAGAAAACTGATTAAGCAATAGTTAGAGTAACTTTAACTATTTTAATAGTTATATATTGGAACCACTGGTGCTTCCACAAGGTGAGAAAACAAGATTCATTAAGTATTTGTTAAATATTTATGAGTATACTGAAAATTTTTTTTGTAAAACTTCAACAGGAATTGCAATAGGACCTTTTGAAGAGTTTAGTTGAACTAAACTATGTTTATTTGCTAATCAATGAAATATATAAAAAGATTAGACTATAGTATAAGAGATAATTATGCAGTATAAGAGATAATTATGCAGTATAAGAGATAATTATGCAGTATAAGAGATAATTATGCAGTATAAGAGATAATTATGCAGGAGGAGAAAGAGCAGTTCATTATATGTACTAAAAACAATTTTCCTTAATGAAATTTTTATATACAAAGTTTTTATTTTATTAATTTTTCCCTTTCTCATCAAATCATTTATTTATCTATTCAATATTTAATTATTTATTTACTATTCTTTATTTCATAGATTGCATGTGTTTAACTGCTAAGGGATGTGTTATGCAAGAAGTCAAGTATGTTAAATTTAGTTTAGTCTAATTTTCAAAAAGTATTTTTTTTTAATTAAAAATTTAACTCATTTTGTAAGTATTTAATAAATTATTGTTTAATTTAAAGACTTCGATAGATATCTCTTATGTCAATATTATATGAGTGCTTGATATAATATAATATTATAAGATATAACTATATCATTTTTAAATTTGTTCTTTTGATATTGTTTGATTTTTCTTATTTACTGTTTCTGCATTTTTAAAATGTTGTTTAGATCTCGAGGAACAGGCTTTTCAAACTGCAATATAGATGTTTTAAATAATAATGCATATGAATGCCTTGCAAACTACCCTTCTACTGTATGTTTTTACAAATTTTAGTTATGTTTATTAACTTTCATAGATTTATAGAATTCATGGAATGTTTGTTGTAAAATAATTTTATAAATAGGGATTTTTGGACTTCTTAGAATTTTGAAAAATAAATATTCTTAGAATTCTTAGAATAAATAGGGATTGTTGGATTTTCTAGAAATTCCTAACAAAATTTAAATTTTCAGTCAGATTTAAATACAATGTTTTTAAACAGACCTTTTTCATTTTAAAGTCTTTAAAATGATATTATTATAATATTAAACTATGTCGCAACTTTTGAAATACATTATAATTGTAATTTTTGTTTATCTTAAATAAAAAAACATGGTACTTGCAAAGTTCAAGTGAAAAAAAGTTTAAAGTGTAAAAATATTATGTCTAGTTGTTTGAGGGTCAAAACAGTAGAATTCAGACACTTTTCAGAAATTTTGTGGCTAACTTTCTTGGATTCCTTAGCTTTTTTTACAAGTTATTACCCATGATGTTAAATGGTTAAATCTGAAATATTAGTTGAGTACCTTGTTTATTTGCTGAGATATGACCAATCAAAGATAAGGTGTCTAGCAGTCAAAAAATGCAACTTTTGTGAAATTTGCACTATTGCCACTTTTAAATGCCTATAACTTTTTTCTGGTAATAAACAAGTGATTGATATTTTAAAAACTGTTTATACAGGTTCCAATGTTTACAAAAATACAACAATAGCTCACTTTTTTAATACTAGAAAAATTTTGTGACCCCCTTAAAACAGGCTAAATGACATTTTTGTGGATAATTTGAAATTTTTGATGCATTGGTAGAGCTTTCTAGTAAATAAAAAGTTATAACTTACTTATATATTTTTTTCATTGCTATATGACTAACTTGTGTAGCAAAGAATATAGAGCTTTTTCAAAACTAGATTTACACCAAACCAGTTTGATTATTGCCTGGTACCCAATTTTTGTTATTTTTGCCAATTTTTGATTATCTATAGATTTTTTCTGGTAATACCATTTGGTATCAAATTAACAGTGATAAATCTCTAGTGGTAGGTCTTACATTTGCTAAAAAAATAATTCACTTTTTTAATGTTGTGTAAAAAATACATTAGGTCAAACTATGATTTTTTTTGCTGGATGCTCATAATTGGAAATGTATACAATATTTTCAAATATGGTATGCTAAACTAAGGCAAAATTAGTTTATGATCAATATACATGAACAACATATACAGTACTATTTTATGTACAATACTATTTTGGTCAATCAATGCATGTGTACAATAATTTCAAATATGGCAGGTATGTTAAAGTATGCAAAAGTAGTTTATGATCAATGCACATGAACAACATATGATACATTAACAGTCACACAATTTTCTAATATATTTTCAAATACAGTATAATGTCATTCTGTTCCTACTTTTTCAAATACTGCTTCACAGAATATGAATAAAACCCTCGTAAATTCACAAGTTCTGGTTCATTAACAATGGCAACAATGTCATCAATAGAATAGGGATGCACATCGTCTTTAATAGGGTATTTAAAATGAGTACCAACCTTTTCCAAACAGCTAACTATAAATAAAGTGTCCTGTTTACTGACAACCTTACCAGGGTATTGTTCACCAAAATAGTCAACTAGTACCCAATTACTTATCTCAACCATGTTCTTTTAATTGGTTAGTCGGTTGGTTGAAACAAGACAGTCATTACCACATTGTTTGCCTCCTAGATGAAACACAGTTTCATCATCAACACCAAATTTAGATGTTGGAAACCCGGCAACTGTACACTTTGAATATGGGATAATATGATGAAGTGAACGAATTCCTTTTACAGATTGGATTCCTTTGAAACGATCCTTGAGTTTCTGTGATTCAGACTGGATAAATTCGGACGAAACGTAAAAGCACCTGAAATAGAATGCATGATTTATTTTATCAGACTAGTCAAGATAATAATTATAACATACTCTAAGTAGTAGAATTTTAAATGGTCTATAAAAGGATTTTAAAAAATGCATCAATCGATAAAATTGCTATGAAATGATTTAAATTTTTATAGATAATTATAGATTATTTATAGATAAATCTTTCATTAATCAAGTTTTTTGAATAAGAAATTTACCTGATATTCTTTATTGTCTTTTTATCCTCTTCAAACATGTCCATTGGTGTCGTTATTTGGTTGACTACTGGTCTCTGGAGTGAAAGACGCCCAATGATTCTCTTTATTGTTCCACCCACACCATCGCAAGCGCTTTTGCCATGAGCGGTGGCAAAGAAGTGCCACTCACAATCAAGTCCAAAGTCTTCTTTATGATAACACATATTCATGACATTGTACCTGTTTCAAAGCATAAAAGCAAATAAATATAAATATTATTGTACTATGTATAAAAGAGGATGAGGAGAGGAAAAGGAGAGAGGATGAGGAGAGGAGGATGAGAAAATATTAAATTATGTTACATATGTTTTTAATGTAATTTTATGTTTTATGTATAAATGTATATAATGTAAATAATATATATGTAATATATATAAATAATATTGTAAAAATTATATATATATATTATATATATATATATATATATATATATATATATATATATATATATATATATATATATATATATATATATATATATATATATATATGCCTAATTTTGATATTAAAGTTTTCAAAATAAATCACATTAAATTTATATTTCTTACCTATTTTTATATTGGCTGGCTGCACCATCTGTAAAATAATGAATCTTTTGTATTTGAGGAAATTCAACCTTAATCACTTTCAATATTTCACCAATGAAAGCATGAACTGTTTCTGTATCATGATGGAGGTGATCAGATATGACAGCAAAGCAAACTGTTTTCTTGTTGTCATTTTCTCTTGTGTGGAGTACAAAAGGGTGTATGGTGGCCTGTCCTTTACTAAAATATGATGATTGAACCTCATCCTAAATTATAAAACTAAAATTTTCTGCAAAGTCCATTTGTAGAATACCTTCATTTCCAGTGGTTTCTTCCTTCATTGATTCAAATTTTTCTGCTTGTATTTTAGACAGGTAATGATGCTTTGTAAGGTTGAAGATATCATTAGTCAGAGTTTGCATGAACTCATCTGTAGATCTTTTCATGGTGACAAGAGTGCATCTATTTGTACTCACCCATTGTTTGAATTCCAATTCATCAGTGGTAATGTAAGGTTGTAGATGGTCTTCAATCTTTTCTTTGCCAGGGCATTTCTCACAGTTGTGAAACATGCAGTCTTTGGAACTCATGGAGCAAACTGCCAATTCCATTAAGGAAGAAATAGAAGAGTAGTCAAGCTTTGTAACATAAGTTTAGGGTTTTGGTGGTGTATACACACATACTGTGTGTGTCCCACATGCACCTGCTAATATGCAATGTTTTGGTCTAAGAAGAGCAAATTGGGTAAGCCCTACTTTTGACAGATTTTCTTCTTCAGCCTTTTCCAACCATTTTTCATGAAGCTCACTCAGGTTGCATAGAACTAGCCTCTTCTGCACATGTATTCGTCCATTCACCCCTTGCACACTTATGAAGTCTTTGGCGCCAGGTAACAATCGGCTATTTGAATCATTCTCATAGAATTCAGTTATCAATGTGACTAAATCAGATGTTAGCTTTCTAGGCTTACTAATTTTTTCAATTTCTCCTAAAATCCCCCTTTGTTCTCGTAATTTACGTGATTGTGTGACAATATATCGTGTTGTTGAGAAATGAAACTTGGTTTCTTGAATAGTCCAATGTTGTGGTACCAGTGTTAGAAGTTTTATTTTTCCTTCAACAGTAGACTCTTTGTTAAATTTTTCTTTAACTTTTGAAACCAAATAATCTAATGACCTAGCAGCTTGGTCACCATCTTTACTTACAGTGTTTTCAAGCTCAAGTGGTTTGTTGAGGTCCGACATTTTTCTTTTCAATTTTTTTTCTACCTGGTCAGTGCTCAAGTGTGCAACTTTAATAGGTGAGAATCCAGTGACAATAAGGCTTTGATTAAGTTGCTCAGCTATCAATTTTTTAGAAGATTCTGGAACATAATCTGGATCAGTACTCATATTTGAATCATTATCAGAGTTTGATGGCTGTCTCAACTTTTTAATGCAAGGGAAACAAAAACTTTTACCTGCAATTAATGTATTGTTTAAATTATAGTGCTCTAGTGTGATCAATGTTAGATTAGATTTCTTTGCCTTCTTGTGGATGTGAAAGGGATCACAGCATTTAGATACAGAAAAGCTTGATGCAAAGTATTTCCCATATTTCAAAGAATGGTGAGTACACACTGTTACAATATTCTTTAATTCAGTTCCTATTCTTATACTCAGGATTAATTTATCAGTGTTAGGTATATCTTCTATAATTTCAGAATAACCTGCATATGTTTTTAGATGACATTCTTCTAGCAAAATATCTCCAACAGAGCATGCCATTTTTCTGGAAAAAACGAAAGTAAAACTATATTTGAAAATAATTTATAAATATGATTTTAGTTTATTTAAAACAAAAAGGTAACCAATATCTAAATGAGATAAACAACATATAAACAAATGTTGTAAACAAACATGAAATTAATGTTATGAATTCAATAACAATTAAAAGGATATATATAGGCATATGGTCATCTTAATCCAGCGTGCAAAAGTTCGATTTGCATTACAAAACTTATAATAAATTTGTGATGAAAATAGTTAACAAAACATTAATAATTCAATTATTTTTTGCATTATGATCTCATTTCCATATCATATTAGATAAAATTGCACAATGAATCCTAATTTAGTCTAAAAAATGGTGAAAAGAGTCACCCTGATGCAAATTTTGTCAAATTTTCATAATGAGCATCCGGCGAAATAAATCATAGTTTGACCTAATGTATTTTTTACACAACATTAAAAAAGTGAATCATTTTTTAGCAAATGTAAGACCTACCACTAGAGATTTATCACTGTTAATTTGATACCAAATGGTATTACCAGAAAAAATCTATAGATAATCAAAAATTGGCAAAAATAACAAAAATTGGGTACCAGGCAATAATCAAACTGGTTTGGTGTAAATCTAGTTTTGAAAAAGCTCTATATTCTTTGCTACACAAGTTAGTCATATAGCAATGAAAAAAATATATAAGTAAGTTATAACTTTTTATTTACTAGAAAGCTCTACCAATCAAATCATCATGCATCAAAGCATCAAAAATTTCAAATTATCCACAAAAATGCCATTTAGTCTGTTTTAAGGGGGTCACAAAATTTTTCTAGTATTAAAAAAGTGAGCTATTGTTGTATTTTTGTAAACATTGGAACCTGTATAAACAGTTTTTAAAATATCAATCACTTGTTTATTACCAGAAAAAAGTTATAGGCATTTAAAAGTGGCAATTTTGCAAATTTCACAAAAGTTGCATTTTTTTACTGCTAGACACCTTATCTTTGATTGGTCATATCTCAGCAAATAAACAAGGTACTCAACTAATATTTCAGATTTAACCATTTAACATCATGAGTAATAACTGGTAAAAAAAGCTAAGGAATCCAAGTAAGTCAGCCACAGCCTGTGTCTGAATTCTACTGTTTTGACCCTTGAGTGTGTTATTGTTAAGGATAAAAAAGATTCTTCATAGAACGAAAATAAAATTATGATTTAAAATGTGTTATTTTTATGGATAAAAGGGATTCAAATGATTAAAGTAAAAAAGATTTTACATAGGCTGGAAATTTATTTATTTAAAATAATCAAAATAGTAATAATGATGATTTTGACAATTTTGATATTTTTTGTAACAATATCAATCCCAATAAAGTTTGTGAACAGGGTGCAGGTCTTGTTCCAAAAACTTTTTAAGATTTTATTAAAATTATAGTTTTACTATTTAAAAGTGAACTTCTGAAAACTTATATTTAAGCCATTTCATGAATCAATTTTGAATAATTTAGAAACCAGTTGTCACTATGGACTTTAAATTTTTCATTTATTTCAAAAGTTGAAACAAATTAAAATAAGATGGTTTTAATTTTCAGTTTTTCAAAACCTTTTTATATAAATTTTGTTAAAAAAAATTAATAATGTAAGTTCTGATTCAGAAAAAAAAACTACATATTTTGTGTTGTAAGAGGATTCCAGGCCACCTCCAACACCTATTCCTAAAGTTTACTACTATTTCAGAAATATAAAATGTCTGTGAATATGCAATCCTTATAAAGTTTCCTGTTTTCATTGATATAACTAATAAACAAATAAATAATTTAAATCACAATATGAAATATGTGTTTTATTTAGGATACTGATAAAATAATTTATATTTAGTTTCAAATTCCTTTATGCATTTTTATAAATTTTTTTTTTGATTTGCTTTTTTGAAAAGCAATTTGGAAAAATTTGTGGCAATGGAATTCGTGAGGATGATGAACAATGTGATTGTGGTACTTTAGAGGTTTTTTTGTATTTATTTTTTCTCTTTTTTGTTGTTATTGTTGTTTTTACAAAAAAACGTCAAGAAGATGTGTTGACTCAAATATGTTACAGTTTATATTATTTATATATGTTGTATATACATTTTTGATTTAATATTTAGGATTTTTGTTACATGTTTTTATTCAGTATTGTTATTTACTGTTATTGTTATTCTAAAAACTATACAATGATAATGATTTGACTTTTCCACAATTTGGATTAAAGAAATACTTTTTTTTTCGGACTAATGTGTTTGTCGAACAACCAAAACATATTTTCAAAACATATTTCGTAAAATATTGTTGTTTCGAGAATAAACTTAAGAAGTTAATTTGTCTGTGACACAAAAAAACTTTTTTCAAAGAAAAATTTTTAAATGTTGAGAAAATAAATAATATTATATATAATATTAGATGCAAATATTTTGCTAAAAATTATGGTAAGTTGAGCACAAGAACAAAAATACCATTAAAAAAATATCTCTACAACCTCTTTGTTTCAGAAAAATTGATTTTTTAAACTTTTCTCAAAAGATCCTTTGTAAAACAATTTGAAATTTCATAAAAGTAAATTTTGGCTCTCAAAAGTTTAGAACCTCTTTATTTTAAAAATGTTACACTTGTAAATGGTCAAAAAATGAAAAAAACAAACAGTTTTTTATTGGTTTACAATAATTTTCATTTCATGTCAGCCTACAGAAAAATGTGTTAAGCAAACCTACAGTTAAAAGTCAAAAACAACTGCAAATAATTTTAAAAAACAAGTAGTTATTTTTTATATGTTTTTATTATTTTTTTGATTGAGAATATTTTTTTTTTTTATTTCGAATCATTTTGAATGCAAAAAATATTTTACCAAATGTTTAAGAAATAATAGTGTACCTTGAAAATAATAATAAAGAACATATCTATCAGTTAAAAGGAAGCTTTTAATTGGTAGATATACTCTTGTTAAAAAAGTTTTAATTGGTAGATATGCAACTTGTTAATAAAATATGTTGTTAATAAAATTGTAAATAAAACATGTATAAAAAATTTTTGCTTTTCTATATGCAGTTTAAAAAGTTCAAATCACTATAATCATCATTCTCAGTTCAATATCAAGTTGTTTACATTTGATAACTTTAAAAGGTGTATGAAAAAAATTTTAGGTTGAAATATGAGATTTTATAACATTACTTAATCACCAAGTTATTGCTTCAGTGGTTTTAAATAGGGCTTGTTAAAACCACTGCAGTGAAAACAATTTGACACTGCAATCCTCTGATAAATAGTTTAAACTATTAAAATATAAAATATATTAAAAACATTATGATTTCTTCTTTTTCTGTTTTGAAATTGTTTTTGATATTTTTAACTATTTTTTACTTTATAATTATAAATTTCTTTTTTGACTGCTGAGCAGAATTGTGATTAAAAAAAATCCATTTTTAAACTTGTTAAAAATATTTAAAGTCATCTTGAGACCTAAAATATATTTTTTTACATGACACATAATTTGAAGCAAGGAAGTTGGGCATTTTATATGACACATAATTTGAAGCAAGGAAGTTGGGCATTTTACATGACACATAATTTGAAGCAAGGAAGTTGGGCATTTTCAGAAAATAGTAAAAGCATAACTCATGAAAATGGAACAATAGGTTTGTTAAAAATAAAGATGAGCATTTGGAACATTGAATTAGGTTTTTTTCATCACATGTTTGGAATCAGCATCTTTATAATTTAGTTCCCAATTTTCAGCTAATTTTTATTACAGATGTGTAATGCACGATTATTGATTACTATAGATGTGTAATACAAGAAAATTAATTACTACAGATGTGTCGAAGAAATGAAGATCATTGCTGTGAACCAGAAAGTTGTGTTTTAAAAGTCGATGCACAATGCAGTCACATAATCAATCCTGACTGCTGTCAGTCAAATTGTCATGTAAGTATTTTATTTAAACTTATTTAAGTTTCTGTCAACCTCGATAAGTGTAGAGTGATTGATGTAAAAATTCAACAAATAATCAAGATTTACCTGACTTAAGTACAAAAAAAGAGACAATTTAATGATTCTTGGTCCAAATTGGATTTATTCATTAAAACAATTATGCTTGAAATTTGAGTTCATAACTTATGTGGTCCCCAAATAAGTCATGGTATACTTAATTTAAACACGCATTTTCTGTGTTTCTATATTCTTACCAAATTTCAAATATTTATTAGATTATTTACCTGAATTTGTTTACAATATTAATGCTAATATATAGCTAAATGTAGAAATTAAGATCAACTCTGCAAACATACACTAAATAAAAATATAAGATCAACTTTACAAACATAAACTAAATGTAAATAATAAGATCAACTCTGCAAACATAGACTAAATGTATTTTTATCTATTTCTTAGTAAAATTCTTTTTTTAGTGTTCTTTTTTATTAGATAATCTTCTAACTTTTTTTTAATTTCATAAAAAAATTATTGGCTTTCAAAAAATTAAACCAAATTAAGTTTAAAACCTTTTGGATTTTGAGGTGTAATTTTTTAAGAATTACAAATTGCATTTAATAAGCGACATCATTATTTAAATATTATGCAAAACTGAGGGCCATAAATTTGTGACATTTGATTTGAATTTATCATATTAGCCTAATCGTTAATTTGATAAATTTAAACCAGTTTAAAAGCAGTATTGAGAAAGATATGGATTTTGTAACATATAACATTAACCATGATTAAAAACTAAAAAAAAGAAACTTATAAATTATGTTGCAGAATTTTTATAAATTCTTAAGTAAGGCTTAAATAAATTCTTGTGTTTTTTGCCCCTCACACCTTCCCCCCCCCCTCCCTCCTCTCTGGTATCGTTAGCTCTGTAGAAACTATGTTAAGAAGAACTGTGACCTAGCATGATGTGCGCACAAGCACATTTTTATATGTGGAGTTTTGAAGTTTGTATAATGACCTTAACATGATTTGTATTTTTATTATTGATATAAATGTTCTTATTGGTTTTTGTATTTACTAAAATCCAAATGATTTTAAATATGGATTTTAAATGGTGACCACGGCGTGAACCTTAAAATTATTTGGATATTATTTGTTGCTGAATTAATAGTTTTCTAAGCTTTAGTGGACTTCATCACGTCGCAACGTGAATACGTCGCAAGAATAGGAGAAGAGCTTGCACTCCTATTCTTGCAACTTCTCAAAAGAGCTCACTTCTGCTATCGCTCAGCGATCTCAGCAGCTAATGAACTTTAACTCAGATAAAACTTTTTCAGTTAATGGTTATCGCAACAATCTAGATCTTAGATTAAACGGTAATGTACTTGATGAGTCATCTTTTCAAATTTTAAAAACATCTTATGTTAGTGATCTTATGTAGTTTTAAACACTCTCTATCCTTAAATTGGCAATCAAAAAAGAAAAAAAAAACTTTGTCTAGAGATGCATATTATAAAACTAAACTCCTCTGCTGAAAATAAAATTTTTTAAATAAAAATGTTAATTTGATATTTTAAAAGTATTTATTAATATAAAGTTTCAATATCCACACATTTCTTTTAAGGAAAACATTGTCCTAAGTGTGGAACCCTGAATTTTAACTTTAAATTCATTGTTTATAAGTTCTTGAAAGAGGGGTATATTTTTTGAAAGAGGGTACTCCAATAATTCAGATTTTGTTCAATATAAAATTAAAATTGCAATAAAATACAAATAAGAAAGAAATATTTAATGAAAACAAATTGTATTAAAGAGAAAAAAAAGACTATAATAGTATTTGAATAGAATTAAAAATAAAAAAATTATTTTGTTAAGCAATTAATATTTTTATATTTTGTTTTTAGTTCAAAAGACAAGGCACTTTATGCAGAGACAAAGTCAATGAGTGTGACATAGCCGAGTACTGCAGTGGAGACAATGAAACTGTATGCACAGTTTCCTTTGTGTTTATGTTCATATATTGTTATTATATTTTTGATATGATTTTAGGAGATTTAATATTTAAGAACATTAATGTGCATGGGTTTTCTTATTATTGGCGTTTTCGTATTTTCTTTTTTTTTTTTATTTATTTTTAATATAGGAATACCCATAAGCTAATGAATAAAAAATGTTTAAATATCATGTAAATCATTCATTTTTTTTTTTTTTTTTTTGATTCATTCCCAACAATAGAGTCTAACAAAATCTAATAAAATATGATTGTGTTGCTGTTTTTTTTTTATCATTTTTCCTTTGCTTTTTAAAGTTTTTAAAATATATATTTTCAAAATAGTATATCAATCATGTCTTGTGCATTTATAAATGTTTGTTGAATTATAAAAATTTAATCTTGAATAATTTTTCAAATTGTTACTTTTTCTTAGTGTCCAGATGACAAAATACTTCGTGATGGAACTTCTTGCCAATCTAATATTTGGTTTCTTGAACAGCATGTTAAACAGGAATTGCCAAAAACAGTATTTTTTTTTCACTTAATAAAAATATATGTACACATTTAATGTATAACCAAATATAACATATTTAACATAAGTGACATATTCAGGCTGATGTTGACACCGATTTGGGCGCCCAAATTTGATCCAAAACTCCTGTACTTGAAGATAATGGATATAATTTAGGCAGAAGTTCTTTGCTTTATAAAATGTAAAGGGAATTATATAAAAAATAAATGTATATATATATATATACATATAATATATATATATATATATATATATATATATATATATATATATATAGTGATTTCGCCGGTTATCCGGTTTTGCGGTTAACGGGATTTTGTTCGAATATCAAATATCTATTTTCGAATAATAAAAACCAACTTAAAATTTTTATGAAATTTTATAGAAAGTAACATCGTAGTTATGACGATTATTGTTTGCCAAATGTTAATTTATCAAAGATTATAATATATTTCTTTTATTAATTTAAATGTTAATTTAATCAGTTTTGTTTGATAATATATTCTTAAAACAATTTACAATAGAAATCTCAAAGATTTATTCATTACTTTTACAACTCAAGCAATACATTTTTAAGAAACTTTCTTCAGAATATTATGGAACTCTAATTCGCTTATTCAGCGTATTTTTTGAACCAATAGAATTTGTTTATTCATAGATTTGGCGGTATTTTAGTGTCTTTATATTATCTTTACGCAACAAGTTGTTTTGAGAACATTCAAGTTTATCTTCAAGTTTCCATCTATGTCCGCATAACAATAAGTTTTTAAAATACACGCTAAAAAAATTTACTTCATAACATCTCATTTTTCCAAATCAAATGTTTTCATATAAGAGAATGATTTTAAAACATCCGCTGATATTAAAACATTTAAACTATACTTGTACATTATTCCTACCTTTTTTAATTATATAATTAAAAAGGTATATTATATTATAATATAAAAAATATATATATCTTTTTCCACGTTTTGTTATAAATATATAATTGTATATAAAAATATATATTGTATTCACTGTCTTGAAAATGTACACTTTAACATTAATTTTTAAAAAATTAGTTCAAAACGCTACGTTCGTTGAAATTTAGAAGATCCTGTATTCAGAATGCGTCACTAATTTACCGAATAGTCGGTTAAACGCAAATTAATGAGAACTGTTATCCGGTTTTTGAAACGGATAACCGACGAAATCACTATATATATATATATATATATATATATATATATATATATATATATATATATATATATATATATATATATATATATATATATATATATATATTTAAACAATTTAAAATGTATTCTACAAAAAGAGTGCTCAACGTTCTTAAAAGAACAGAGCAATTACAAATTAGTAGAAAATCACTTAGCAAAATTTTTTCTCATTTAACACTGTGTTTCATCAATAAAGACTCATCAGAAAAATAATAAAATAATAAAAAAAAGATTTTCTGATGAGTCTTTATTGATGAAACACAGTGTTAAATGAGAAAAAATTTTGCTAAGTGATTTTCTACTAATTTATATATATATATATATATATATATATATATATATATATATATATATATATATATATATATATATATATATATATATATATATATATATATATATATATATATATATATATACACATATATATATATATATATATATATATATATATATACACATATATATATATATATATATATATATATATATATATATATATATATATATATATATATTAGGATTATGACTTTTTATCAACACCATGCTACTGTACTGTACTGTACTGTAGTTTGATGAACTTTTACCTAAAAAGCATGAAATGAACAAAATGCATATCTTTTCAAAAAAGTTCACCCCACCATTTTGACATAAGTACTTTTATGTATTCAAATGTATTTAGAATTTCATAGTCATGTAGTGATTACTTCTGGGTATCTGTAGTATGGATGGCTCTCGCTTCCAGTGATTTTTCAAAGAGCTTAAAGCCATTTTGTATGGATTCAGTATTTCAGCCAAGTTATTAAAGTCGTTTTCCAATAGTCTGCCCAGCCATACGATATAAATCAACATCTCTGCAGAACTGTCCTTGTTGAAGGAATTAAAATGAAGGCCAGGATCGCTAGTATAGCTCTAGAGTTCCATCTCGCATTCCTGTTGATGTCGCAGATGTTGGGTATTTTCTGAAACCTAATCAATGGAAAATATCCCTTTTCCTAAAAAAATTAGAACACTCGAGTGAGATGAAACATAAATTTCATATCATCTCTCCAGCCTGATGTTTCGAGAATTACTTCTGTTCCATTATCAAACTTTGCTTATCAAAATCTTTTATTATCTTCCATTATCAGCTTGATTGCCTCTTTGATTGTTGACTTGTAAATAGCTGATTGACATGGAGTTAGGATGTCAATGCCTTTCTTTACTTTTTCTTCCAGTGAATATTCTTCTACTACCGCTTGTACGACGCCATGTGTTGCTTCTGTAATAACTATAAAATTAATTGAGCAGCTATATTTAGTGTAAAATGTTCTAGAATATTCCAGAATGTTCTAAATTGTTCTAGAATATTCCAAAATATTTTAAATTGTTCTAGAATGTTCTAAAGTCTTCTGAAATATTCTGTTATTTTCCAAAATGTTCTAAAGTTCTAAACACTTCTAATCTATACAAGTTTTAAATGATTTGCAGGAAAGCCACACGTATTAGTAGTAGCAGAAACAAGATTAAATAAATGATGAAACATAATTTGAATTGTGGGGTGACTTTTTTTTACAACTGATATATATATATATATATATATATATATATATATATATATATATATATATATATATATATATAAATCAGTATAAATCAAAGTTTTATTAATATGATCATTTATTTCTGAGTCTTTATTGATAAAACACAGTGTTAAATTAAAAAAAAAAAATTTGTCAAGTGATTTTCTACTTGTGTAATGTGTGAGCTGAGACTGCGAACTTGGCACAATATTGTTGCTTGCAGTGTACATTTACATTACATTACATTACCCATAATACTTATTTAATATTTAGTTACTTTATATTAAAGTGCTGATTAGCTATTTAATGCATACATGTTATTACTGACTGCTGGCATTATTAGATTATTTTCTAGATTTGTCTAGAAAAAGTATTCTGTTGGCGTTATATGTGTTTTGGAGATTTGTCTATACTTGCCTGCAATTGTCTATCAAGGTAAAATAAATTTTTCTCATGACTATTAGATTAAAAGGTTGTAATTTTTTATAATATACACTGATGGTTAAATTAGGCCTATTGATTATGATTTACTTTTAATTGTGTGACAGTAACTAAATTTTTGTTGAAAAATCACTTATCAGCGTATAGGCTATATTCACCAACTATTAGAAATAGCTATTATAGTAATAAGCAAGTGTAAATTCAAGAATTCTTAAATTATAAAAGTAATTAATAAATTAAGTAATTAATTATTTTGTATCTGTCTGCAGATTTATATCCCATGTTTCATCATGACATTCACAACAAGAACTCAAACACAAGTTTATCTCCTTGGTGCATCCGTGCCTGCATTAGCTGGTGGAAAGCCATCATTGCGCATGGCTCTTGGCTTCTTTCTACATCATCATATTGAACTGAAGGAGTCTGTACGACAGTCCTCAGCTGCTGCAGTCAGAGAGATAGCTCGATTTTGGCAGAAGGCAAGAATTCCGATAAGAGATCCTCAAAATTGTCAAACTAAGCTAGAGCAGATATTCGAAGAATAGCATCTGCTCAAAAAGAACAAAGGGAGAAAGTCAGCAACACAGCAGACAAGATGCCCTTGTCTCCAGGCTTGATGATCTCTTCGATGTTGCTCATGCCAGTGCTTTGGAAAAGATTACAATTCAAGAAGACAAGGACTTCTTGACAGCTCAGTGAGAAAAAGGAAGACGTGGATTGATGACTGGAGAGGACACAATACTAACTGCAAAGGAAAAACATGCGATGGAAAAACAGGAATGATGCTGAATCAATGTTGCCGAATGGACGATATGATACAGAACAGTAATGCAACAGCTGAACTTGTATCATCTAATAGTGAGATATCAGCAGCCGAGGAATGTGCTGTTGGAGCCAGCACATTTTGCACAGAATGAAACGAAAGAGGGGTTGAAAAAATGTTGTGACACCAGAGTTAGCTGCAGCTCTAGACAAGAATTAAGATGTCAGATCGAAAGGCAAGCAAACACATATCTCAACTGCTCACTGTTGCTAAACTTTTATCTTGAATGGTCAAAGCACAAGCTGCAGCTGTCTTTGGGGCCATAGAAGACTGGGGAATAGCTGACAGCATTCGTGCTATGTGTTTTGACACCACTAGCTCCAACACTGGTCAGATTGCTGGTGCATGCGTACTTCTGGAGCAAAAACTTAACAAGGAGCTTTTATCACTGATTTGTAGACACATTATGGAACTTATCATCGGTGCCGTGTTCCAAGTGTGTATGGGATCAACATCTTTTCCAGTGGTTCCAATGTTTAAGCACTTTAAGGAATACTGGGGATTTATTGACAGTGACAAATACGAAACAGGAATTTCAAATGCTGATCTACAGTGTCTTGTAAATGATGTTAAGCAAAGCACCATTGACTTTGCCAGACAGAATCTTGAGCAAAGTCAGCCAAGAGATGATTACAAGGAATTTTTAGAATTAATAGTCATCTTTCTTGGTGCAGTTCCTACCAGAGGAGTGCGATTCGTGTCACCTGGCGCTATGCATCACACTCGCTGAATGTCTAAGGTCATCCATTGCTTAAAGATGTGGATGTTTCAATCCCAGTTTCAACTGACTCCAAAAGAAGAAGGGGGATAAGTGACGTTTGCGTGTTAATTGTATGTGTTTACTTGAGAGCATGGATTACTGCTCCTCTTGCCTCCAGTGCCCCATATAGTAATTTGTTACTGTTGAAATCTCTGCTTGATTATTCAGCAATCTATACTGCAATATCA